TTGTGTCCTCTCTGTTCTCATCATATGAATTAAGACACCTTCAAACCATTTAACAACTTTAGTCATAAATAAGCTGCAAAGTACTGTTGATATATGATATATGTCATTATTCTCTTCTAGCACAAGACATAAGGATGGCCCTGGTGGGGAAAACTGGAGTTGGGAAAAGCAGCTTGGGCCAAACGATACTTGGAGAGCCTGTGTTTAGGATCAATCATACTTCTAACTCTGGAACAAGTGAATGTCAGAAAGAAACCAGACAGGTTGATGGAGGATTTATCACTGTGATTGATACTCCTGGTTTCTTTGACAATTGCAAGTCTGATGATGAGCTGAAGTCTGAGATGATAGATTTTATCATAGAGTGCTGTGATGGGCTTGATGCTTTTCTTATTGTATTTAAAGTTGAGAAATTCACTGAGCATGACAATGAGGTTGTTTCCAGGATAACAGAGTGTTTTTCTGAGGAAGCTTTCAAACACGCTGTAGTTCTCTTCACTCACGGTGACCAGCTTCCTGACAACATGAAGATTGAGGAGTTTGTCCGTGGAAATAAGCGTCTGTGTGATCTCTTGGAGAAATGTGGGAATCGCTGCCATGTTGTTGATAATAAGTACTGGAAGAACAACCAGCAGGATGAATACAGAAACAACCAGGTCCAGGTAGCAAAGCTGCTCGATACAGTAAAACAAATGGTGGAGAGTAGAGGGCGCTATACCAATAAGACACTGCAAGAAGTGAAGAGAAAAATACTGCAGGAGGAAGAGCGCATTAGAACGTCAACAACAGGCATGTCACCAGAAGTTATCAGGCAGCAGGCAAAGAGCAATGTCTCAGATTTTCTCAAGAAGGCAGCTGGCATCACCACAGGAGTGTTGTTGGGAGCTTTACTGGGTGCATCATGTGCGATTGTAGTAGCTGCCCTAAGTCGTGACATAATGCCTGCAGGTGGAGGAGCTACAGCATTTGGTGTAGATGTAGGACTTGGTGTTGTTGTAGGTGCAGTAGCGGGAGGTTACGTAGGTTTTCAAGAAGCTGATAAAGCAGATTCAGTAGAGGAGGCAGTACAGAACACAGCTACGGCTATCATCAAGTCAGCCAAACAAAGTGTGGAAATTCTAAACAACGTAAAACAGCTGCAAAGCGACATGAAAATGATGCGTGTTTCAAAAAAATAAAAGATAGATTGCATTTGAGCTTTGCACCACTCTGATCAAAACCCCCATCTAGAGGATTGTTGGGCTCTGCTGCCATGACGACACATAAGTATCAAGATCAAGATCAAGAATTGTTTGTGAGGCTTTAAACTGACGGCCTTTGTCCATTTATCAGCATGTCTGTGTTCTACTGGTGACTCTGTTCACCTTGATGATGTTTTTAGGATCCTTTAAGGATTTTGTGGTTTAATCAGATCATGTTGGTATTTTCTATTCTTCTACCTTCCTTATCTACATGACTAAAGCTTCTTTTTAGTCGTGTTTTTTCTTATCATCCAATCATGAGTATGTTAAGGAGAATTTCACCTCAACACACATTATCTATTAACTGTCTCCTCCTGCCAGATGGAGTTTTATGAGGTGTTGTTGATGATTTGGTCTCCTAGAAGAGGCTGATTGTTCTCTGTGCATCTGTAGGTTTATTGTTAGTTATTGTCATAAGATTTTTATTCTCACTTACAAAATGACATGAAGTGTTCGGACAGGCTTTTGAACTTAAGCTTTACACTATCTGAAAATAAGTTTGAGTTGTTCTTTACATTTAAAAAATGATTCTATAGGGGTGTTTGATCATGACTGTATTTTGTGGATGNACCTATACCTGCTGCTACACCTCCTGCAACTGCTGCCACAGCTGCACCTATACCTGCTGCAACCCATGCAAATAATGCACCTAATGCACCTCCTGCACCTGCTGTTCCTGCTGCACCTGTTGCACCTCCTGCTCCTACGGTACCACCTGCACCTACATCTCCTTCTCCTGCTGCTCCCTTTGATTCTTTTCTGGTTTCCTGCAAAACTACAATAGTTGGCTCAAAGAGTATTTCCGCTACAGATTCTGCTGCAGGGCCTGTTAATTTGATCCACATCTTCTTCGAGGCACCATTGATCTCTTTATTGCTGGTGTCTCTTTGTGGCCTGTTTCCAGCTACTCCTCTTTTCTCTGCTTGCAGCATCTTATCAGTGTAGCATCCTCCTTTGTTTTCCATCACCATCTTGTCTACTGTTTTGAGCAGCTGTTCCACCTGGAACTGTTTGCTCCTGTAGCCACCCTGCTGGTTGTATCGATTATCAACAACGTGGCATCGGCCGCCGCACTTCTTCACCAGATCAGCTCGGAATTCATTCTGATCCACAAACTCCTCAAATTTCATTCCTTTGGAGAGCTGGTCACCATGCGTGAAGACAACTAAAGCATATTTAAGAACATCATCAGAGAAACACTTGCATATTTTAGTGACAACATCTTGCTCCTGCTCTGCAAATTTGTCTGCTTTAAGCACAATGACAAAGACATGAGGTCCAGGAGTGAACTCTGAGGAACACCTCACAATATCCGCAAGCTTCAGCTCCTCCTCAGGTCCATTAAAGAAACCAGGAGTGTCCATCAGAGTAATTCTTCTTCCGTGAATGGATCTGGACTCAGCTTGGCACTCACTTGTTCCACAGATGGGTTTATGATGTATCTTGAACACCTCTTCTCCAAATATGGTGTTTGCTAGGCTGCTTTTCCCAGATCTGGATCTTCCCAGCAGGACTATCCGGTATGATTTTAGCACTAGACAAGAATAAATAAAGTAAATACTGTGCATTTGTGTTCTCTTACTTTGCAACTTGGGGACATACTTTACACACAGTAAGAAAAGCATTGGGCTTCGGAGAACACTGTAGGTTTTTGGCAGAAAATCCTGTTGTTTCAATAAAACTGTGATTTATTGGGACTGCAGCAAATTGAACAAATGATGAGTCTCTAAATATCTTTTACCTTTAATGTATTTTTGAGCTCCAGCTGTTCCTGCGATGACGGTCCTTGTTGGTGACACTAGAGAAACATAATGAGTAAAAAAAAGTAAAGAACACTGATTAGCCTCTAAGCTTAGGGCTCCTACACTATCAGTTATGTACTTATTCATTTACAGCTGGCATCAGCAAAGACTACTGACGCCAGCTCAGCCAAATTGCTTAAGAAATGCTTTTCATAAAACATATTTAACAAAATGACACAACAATGCCTCATTTGTTGTATTTTTCCAACGTGTTCCACTTTTTACCTGTCTCTGCTCTGGTTCTTTCAGTTACTTGCAGAAATCCTCCTGTAATTGGCATCAATACTCCTCTTACAGCTCTGCACTCATTGCCTTTCTGTGCCCTCTTCACGGTGTCTTGTCCTTGTGCTGTAACTTCTTCTGCTCGCGGGACTTCCTGCAGAACTACAACACTTGGCCCAGAGAGAGCTTCTGACACTGATCTTGCTGCAGGACCTACAAATGTGATCCAAACATTCTTAGGAACACTGCTGTTGACATCCAGGCTGGTGCTTTCCGCTGATTGGAGTTCGCAGCCTTGCATTTGCTTCTCCACCATCTTGTCAGTGTAGTGACCTTTGTGTGTGTGAATGTGTGTTGAGCAGCTGTTCCCCCTGGATCTGGTGGCTCCTGTGTGGAATGCGGCACTAGAAGAGATAAATGGTGGTGTTTGAATAATACTGTACATTTAAGTAGATCCTTATGTCATTTTTCTGTTCATTTGTGGAAATAATGCACACATGCATACATAGTTTAAATCACATGAATCAAGAAAAAAGAAGCAAATATAGATACTGGATATTACACAGAATAGGAATACACACGATGTGACCAGTTCAGGTATGAGTCTGTCTTTGTGTTGTTTACAATGTTTGCTGGACAAACAATGACCAGAAGCATTTTTTTCCTGACATTCAACAACAAATCAACATTTTATTTGACTCATACAGATTTATTTTTCTGGTTTTAAAGTACAAATTTCCAACCACAAATGCAACAAAAATCAGTATTTTATTTATTTAATTATTACAAATATTAGTGTATTCTCTTACAATGTCTGACTATAAAATTATTCAGTTTTACTCTATTTAAATCAGTACAAATTTCAATATTTTTACTTGATATTTACCATAATTTTAAAGAAAGACTACATTATGTTAAGGAGTCAAAATGGAAAAGTTCTATTACTTTGCTAAATGTTGAACAAAACAGGGAGAATTTGTGAAATAACTACAGTTTAATTTTAAATTTACATGTTGACTTGCCAAAAAATAATCAGCATGTTCACACATAGTAACTTGGTTCTTTAATAGTGGATGACTGAAAAATAAGTGTGTGAAATACGTAGTTATTTTAGTGATATTAATGATTTTTTTCATAATATTCTACACCTGGTAAACGTTACAGTATCCCACCATTTTTAATGTATATTTTCAGACTATTCAAAATTTTTATAGTTTTTTTTTCTGACATTTATTTTTACATTGTATGGTTGATCCAGAATGAAATACTTTTGGTTGGAAAATTTGGCCAACACATATTCCGTATGGCCTCAGAACTGATCCTGAGGGGATTAAACTGTTACCTCTGCATTCAAATAACTTTATGTGGGGAAAAAAAAATCACTTCAACTGCAACAAAAATATTAGAAAACACAAATTACTTTAGCCTAGGACAAAAGGTATAACTTTGCTTTATTAATATTGATATATTGACATTGACTTATGCTTCTTATCTCAGAAATAAGTTTGTGGGGTTTCACTGTTGTGCTGGATTAAAATCCTCCCTTCCATTGAGGAGTGCTAGTTGCACTGATTGATGCTGTTTCGCTGAATGTCCACAGAACAGATTTCCAAACTTCCAGTGAGGAAGGGAAAATACAGCAAAGGTGGCCAAATTCCCTCCTTTAACATTTGCCTGTGCTTCCACCTAGTGGTTGTTGAAATGTGTTGCAACGCCACATCCCAGACTGGTGCTTGTTTTTCTGCTTCAGGTTTCACTTTCTGTTTCATCACTCCACCTCGCCCTCTCGCTCCGTATTTCTCTGCTGTTTATTTACAGGTTAAGCTTTTACCAGTAGCGTCCTGTTAATGCACTGGGTGAGCTGAGGTCTGTCTGAACAGGAAATATTGAGTCCAAATGTTCCAGGAATTCTGTTCAGTAGAACGCCTCTGCCCTCAAAGAAGAACAATGAGTTTCCCTTGTTACGTAAAGAACCTTTCAACAATGACAAATTCACTAATCGACATCTACATGGTGCACAAACAAAACTGAGAGAGAACATAAATAAAACCTATTACTTCTCATATTGATAAACTGTCCACAATCTTTCTAAGGATATTTCCCCAAAATCTGACGTGTCAGCTCAATACACTGTAAGCAGAGTGGACAGTTAAATAGAAGCAGAAAAGAATCTTAACTCACCAGTGATATGGAGTCAAATAAGAAACGTGTGGAGAGGAGGAATGGATGACTGTCCTGCATGTGTTCTTCTCTCTGCTGGAATGAGGCTGCAGTTTCGGTTGAATTTCACTTTCACTTTGCTATTTGAAGAGTGTTCGTGTTTAAGGGTGTGTTTAGTGAGAATTTAAGAAACTGCAGTGGAGCTGATTGATAATTTTTGATTCCATCTCATATCGAACATCATCGGCCAGAGAGTAAAGTATCGCTAAAAGCATGACTTTAAAGAGCGTGCAGAGCAGATTTCAGTCAGATCTTATAGTGTTGTGCTGCTTGCTTCACTGTGATGTCAGAAAAATATCACAAACTGTTTCTTTCATAGTTGAATAAAACCTCCAGTGTCTGGGATAGAGGTGGAGGCTTCACCCTTTCTGACCTCTTTTGTATGTTAAGGAGTTAGTAATGTTGAATATTTAGACTGTAAAATGACACTGTGTTACTGTCTTTAAACATACTGAAAAGGCAATTATTTACTGCTACATACATTTACAAATTCTAGATGCTTTCTGTTGTGATAAAAAACAGCCACCTGCTGTTATGGATTCTTTGCCTCCTCTAACAAAAAAACACTCCTTCTCTTGTTTTTGTTTGTCCGATTGCAGAAACACTTCCTTTGTGTTGGAAGAGATTGGTACATGTTAGAAGACAGTATGTCAGAGTGACAGAAAAAACTTACAGGGAATCAGTCAAAACACTGGTGGTGATTGTGCAATCAAAATGTATTTCATAAAAGCAAATTAAAGCAAAGAACTGTCATTACAAACATTCTTTATGATGAAATTGTACATTTGGATTAAAAAATCTGCATTTGTGAAACAAAAAGAAACCACGTGTTCAATGAGGTTTTAAAAGAGGAAAGAAAAACATCATCTTTCATTACAAGTCACAGAAAATCAACATCCACAGTAATAACATTTTTTAAGGTTTTAATAATCCAAACTCAGTTACTTCTCATAACTCATACGTATACTTTGTCCTTACATTGCTAAACATTTTACAAACCATAACTACATGATACACCTTGACTAAAGATACTGAAAGAAACATCTTACTGAGGGTTCTATAAAGACCTTATTACATCCACAAAATACTTTAATCAGACAAAGAAGNAATTGTCTGTAGGTGTGAATGTGATTTTGCTTGGTTGTCTGTCTCTAAGTGTAGCCCTGTGATAGACTGGTGACCTGTCCAGGTTGTCCCCTGCCTTCACCCTGAGTCAGCTGGGATAGACTCCAGCCCCATAACCCGAGTGAGGATTAAGCCATGAATAAATAATGGATGGATGGACCTTTGAACCTGGTTCTGTTAAATAATATATAAATAAAACGTGTATGTACATGTGTTCATTTACAGTTTTTTTTAAGTGCTTTTATTTTTTATTGATTTTTTTCTGACAGCTTTTCTGCAAGATTTATAATGTTGCAGTTTGTTTTATTTTATTGTGTTTGGCTTATTTCAGTTTGTTCTCAGGTCCACTGCTGTCTCCAAAATTGTAAAAAAAAAAAAAAAAAAACTGAACAAAAAAACAACCAACAAAACCAAGCAACAACAACAAAATAATGCATGAATAATCCATTTAATAATTTTACAGTGGATAATTTTTAAACACCAAGTGACATGAACGGGGAGCAAGAACAAGTACAGTGTTACTGATAGTAATATTCTCTCCTAGAGCCAAACACAGTGAGGATTGTTCTTCTGGGGAAAACTGGATCTGGGAAGAGCAGCCTTGCTAACACCATATTTGGAGAGAATGTATTCAAAGTCAACTTTCTTGACTCACAAGCAAGTATTTGTCAAGCAAAGTCAGGATCCGTCAGTGGCAGAAAGCTCACTTTGGTCGACACTCCTGGTTTCTTCGATCCAGGAAGGTCAGCGTTGGAGCTGAAGGTGGAGATCCTGAGGTGTGTCACCGAGTGCGCTCCTGGTCCTCATGCTTTTCTCATTGTGCTTCAGGTGGAAAAATTCACTGAGCAGGAAACTGATGTCATCAGACAAATGCATGAGTGTTTTTCTGCAGAGGTTTTTAACTATTCTGCAGTTGTTTTCACACATGGTGACCAGCTGTCAGAAAACATGAACATGAAGGATTTCATCAGCAATAACAAGCATCTGAAAGACCTGGTGGAGACGTGCGGCGGTCGGTGCCATGTTGTAGATAACAAATACTGGCAAAACAACCAGCAGGGTGAATACAGGAGCAACCAGTTCCAGGTGACACAGCTGCTTAACACAATCAATGACATGGTGAAGAGAAATGGAGGAGGCTGCTACAGCACTGAGATGCTGCAGGAATGGAAGAGACGGCAAAGAAAACCATCTCTGGTGTCTTTCCTCAGAACTGTGAGGCGTTGGATGAAACGTGTAACACGACAACCTGTGAGAGCCTTGTTTGGTGTAGCAGCCGTCATAGGTGTGCTGCTTATTGTAAAAGCTGTGAAAGTCCAAGCAGCAGCAGTGGGAGGAGAAACACACACAGTCCTGTAGCAGGCAGAGTAAATGGAGGTTGTACAGGAGGCCAGCTATTAAAGCAAAAGATTTCACTATGATCATTTTTAAAATTAGTTTAACTGATTGCTGAACCTNAGTCTAGTGAGAAGTGTTGTGTGACGGGCAGGAAAGACACATGTCTAACATATTTTATCAAGTGTCATTTAAATATAGACTTCTGACCTATAATACCTTTTACAGTGACCTGGGCAGTGAACATATTTTATATAGAACATATTCTTTTTGTGCACTTTTCAAAACATCATAAAAATATTCTTAGAAAAGATTAAGTGTAAAATTATTTAAGTATTTTAGAGCAACTTTAAGAACGTACCTGTAATAGAAAAATGTTGTATTAAAATCCAAAAACTGGTTTTATTTTCATTACAAATTATATTTACAGTATTTTTCTTTCATTCTTTAGGTAATATCTACAATCCTCCATCATATGACTGTCATTTAAAGTGGTTGTTGTGTTACAATGGATTTTTATAATGTTTTTTATGTATTTTCAATTAACTACAATAATTTCCTTTGAAGCTGGTTCTGTTAAATAACAGCTACATGTGTATGTACATGTGTTCATTTACATTTTTTTTTAAGTGCCAGTATTGTTTACTGATTTTTTTTTTTTTTTTTCCTGACAGCTTTTCTGCCAGATTTTTACTGTTTTAATTTATTTATTTATTGGTGTCTTTTGGTCTCTGGTCCACTGCTGTCCACAAAATTGTAAAACAAACAAACAAACAAACAAAGCAACAACAACAAAATAATGCATTGATAATCCATGTAATAATTTTACAGTGGATAATTTTTAAACACCAAGTGACCAGAACAGGGAGAAAGAACAAGTACAGTGTTACTGACAGTAATATTCTCTCCTAGAGCCAAACACAGTGAGGATTGTTCTTCTGGGGAAAACTGGATCTGGGAAGAGCAGCCTTGCTAACACCATACTTGGAGAGAATGTATTCAAAGTCAACTTTCTTGACTCACAAGCAAGTGTTTGTCAAGCAGAGTCAAGATCCGTCAGTGGCAGAAAGCTCACTTTGGTCGACACTCCTGGTTTCTTCGATCCAGGAAGGTCGGCGTCGGAGCTGAAGCCGGAGATCCTGAGGTGTGTCACCGAGTGCGCTCCTGGCCCTCATGCTTTTCTCATTGTGCTTCAGGTGGAAAAATTCACTGAGCAGGAAACTGATGTCATCAGACAAATGCATGAGTGTTTTTCTGCAGAGGTTTTTAACTATTCTGCAGTTGTTTTCACACATGGTGACCAGCTGTCAGAAAACATGAACATGAAGGATTTCATCAGCAATAACAAGCATCTGNTCTGGTACAGAACCATGACCTCAGACTTGGAGGTGCTGACTCTCACTCCAGACTGCCTCAGTGCTCGCTGAAGCTCACAACATGATGAAACCAACAGAACTACATCATCTGCAGAAAAACAGAGATGCAACTCTGAGGTCTCCAAACTGGACAGCTTCCTCACTCTGGCTGCACCTTAAGATGCTGTCAGTGATTCTCACAAACAGGATCAGAGTGACAAGAAGTATCACTGGTGGAGTCCAACACTCTGATCAGTCAGTGAACAAATGATGATGATGATGAACGCTGTGACTCAGTCAGTCAATACATGCAGGAGGATGTTGTGAGTGAATTCACAGGAAGGGGAGGAAACTATTCTTTACTTTTCAGTTTGGTTTAGTTCACTACATTGTTGACTGAAAAGGACATTAGGCTTGTGTGATAAAAGCAGACACACTAAAGCAGGTTCAGCAATCAGTTAAACTAATTTTAAAAATGATCATAGTGAAATCTTTTGCTTTAATAGCTGGCATCCTGTACAACCTCCATTTACTCTGCCTGCTACAGGACTGTGTGTGTTTCTTCTCCCACTGCTGCTGCTTGGACTTTCACAGCTTTTACAATAAGCAGCGCACCTATGATGGCTGCTACACCAAACAAGGTTCTCACAGGTTGTCGTGTTACACATTTCATCCAACGCCTCACGATTCTGAGGAAAGACACCAGAGATGGTTTTCTTTGCTGTCTCTTCCATTCCTGCAGCATCTCAGTGCTGTAGCAGCCTCCTCCATTTCTCTTCACCATGTCATCGATTGTATTAAGCAGCTGTGCCACCTGGAACTGGTTGCTCCTGTATTCACCCTGCTGGTTGTTTTGCCAGTATTTGTTATCTACAACATGACATCGACCGCCGCACGTCTCCACCAGGTCTTTCAGATGCTTGTTATTGCTGATGAAATCCTTAATGTTCATGTTTTCTGACAGCTGGTCACCATGTGTGAAAACAACTGCAGAATAGTTAAAAACCTCTGCAGAGAAATACTCGTGCATTTGTCTGATGACGTCAGTTTCCTGCTCGGTGAATTTTTCCACCTGAAGCACAATGAGAAAAGCATGAGGACCAGGAGCGCACTCGGTGACACACCTCAGGATCTCCGCCTTCAGCTCCGACGCCGACCTTCCTGGATCGAAGAAACCAGGAGTGTCGACCAAAGTGAGCTTTCTGCCACTGACGGATCTTGACTTTGCTTGACAAATACTTGTTTGTGATTCAAGAAATTTGACTTTGAATACATTCTCTCTTGGCCTCTCATGCTGTGTGGCACTAAACTTTAAAGTCGTTTGCATGTAAAAGCAGAAACATCATCAGCTTCAGTGATTCTGTGACACACATCCACCCCCTTCAGTCTTTGTCTTCAGCCTCCGTCCTCAGTCTGGCTCCGCCCCCCGTCAGCCCCTTTAGAGTGGAGTTTGGCTCAGAGGCAGAGCTGAAGTTTCACTTTAAGTCTCGATCCATCAGCTGTCTGAAGTCATATTTGATAAGGAGAGCAGCCGAGTCAACAGAGAGTGACACAAAACGACTTTAAAGCCACTTTAGAGCCACACAGCAAGAGAGGCCGACGGTGGACGAATTTTCTGACACCAGCCTGAATAACTGCACTGACTGCTTCTTCATCATGGATGGTGAGTTAGATTTACTGCTTTACATCATTCTGTGTCATCACTGAGGTTGAGAAGCAGGAAAAATAAAAACCTTGAAACATGTTTGTGATGTTACATCCAGCTCAATGAAGGAAGAGTTCAGAGTGTTGAACTGTCACAGAGTCATGCTGATGCTGACGTTGCTTTCTGTGTTTAATGAGATCCTAACAGACCCAATCATATTGTTCTCTCTGAAATCTGACTCTGAGTTTCAGTCCCGCCATTTTGTGAAATGTTCTCACAGTACTGTGGCGGCCATGTTAGACATGTGATTGTAATTATAGNTTTTTTGGCTTTGTTATGTATGACGCCTGACTTCTCCTCCTGCAGTAGCACAGACTGTATCTAATTGAACACCAGATGCTGCAGCTCCTTCACCTGCAACAGTTCCTGCTACATAATCTTCCCTTTAAACACATGCTCCCATTGTCCTACTTGCTGAGACAACTCTTCTAATCATATCTTTCACACCCAGTAAAGCTCCCAGCAATACTTCTGTGGTGATGCCAGATGCGTTCTTGAGAAAATCTGTGACAACACGCTTTGCCTGCTGCCAGATATCTTCCGGTGACATGCCTACTGATGAGCTTCTAATGTGCTCTACCAGTTGTCGTATTGCTTTCTTCATTGTTTGCAGCATATCATTGGTGTAGCACCCTCTACTCTCCACCATCTGTTTTACTGTATTGAACAGATTTGCCACCTGGACCTTGTTGTTTCTATTCATCCTGCTGGTTGTTAGTCCAGTACATATTGTCAACAACGTGGCAGCAGTTCTCATATTTCTTCAAGAGATCACACAGATACTTACTTTCACTGACAAACTCCTCAATCTTCATGTTGTCAGGAAGCTGGTCACCGTGAGTGAAGACAACTACAGCGTGTTTGAAAGCTTCCTCAGAAAAATACTTTCTTATCTTGGAAACAACCTCGTTCTCATGCTCAGTGAATCTCTCAACTTTAAGTACGATGAGAAAAGCATCAAGCCCATCACAGCGGCGCTCTATGATAGAATCTATTATCTCAAAATTTGGCTCATCATCAGACGTACGATTGTCAAAGAAACCAGGAGTATCAATCACAGTGATAGATCCCCCATCAACTTGTCTGGTTGCTTTCTTACATTTACTTGTTCCAGAGTTTGCACTATGATGTATATTAAACACAGGCTCTCCAAATATAGTTTGGACCAAGCTGCTTTTCCCAGCTCCAGTTTTCCCCAGCAGGGCCATCCTTATGTCTTGTGTTAGAAGAGAATAATGACATATATCATATATCAACAGTACTTTGTACACACAGCAGTCAGGAATCACTATAAACAGGAACATCACTTCAGCTTGTCAGAAATAGTAGCTGTGACTGTGACTGCGGTTTGAATGTTTCCTGTGTCTACAAGTTCATGCAGTTTCTGAGCCTCTGTTGTCATGTGAAACAATCATTCATGAGGTTTTACCAGAGAATTTCAGTAAATATAGACAGCAAATGGACAAACACTGGTTTGAAGTGTCTGTGACAGTATTATTTAGAAGCCAAACATCCACAATCCTCCTGGGATCCAATGACAGTGAGAACAGTAGAACATCAGGAAAAGACTGAAGTTATTCTTCTGCTTTTTAGTCTTTACATCTGAGACTGACAGAAGTGTATCAAGAAGTTATGGGGCCTGTAGATAAGCAAGTAACAACTTACATACATGTGAATCTGTAGTCAAAGCTCTGTCAGGTTTTATTGATAGATAATCTTACATGGCTGATTCATTCATGTTGGTCTAAATATTCCTTCAACTTTTAGCAGCGTTTCAGGAGCTCACCTTGTGTCACGTCCTCAGGAACAGATGTGGAATCTGCTGCTGCTCTGCTCTCTGTGGCTGGTTCTGAACCTGAGGACAAAGTGTTTCATGATGTTCAGCTTTGATGGTGATAGCAAATATACTGTCATGTGACATTGCAGCTTTGATGTTGACAACTTTATGATTCTGGGTCATTTGTTATATGAAACAAATATGGTCCAGATTCTGTTTAAACAGCTGCTGATATCAGTTTAAACCAGTGGATTAAAACTGTGGTACTGTGGTGGTACATGTGCTGCTTCTGATGGTAAAAAAAAGATTAGATGGGAAGTTCATTACATTCTTTGTTCTTTACATTTACATATGTTTCTGTTTCTATAATCAATGCAAATGAATATGAACAACAAATACAGTGTATATGAAATATTTGCAGTATTTATGGGGAAGCATGTCAAGATGTGCATACACAGTCGTGCAAGAACAGCATTAGGAGGAGGGCAAAGGGGGGGACAGTGGAAGTGGACTGTAAGTCTTAATCAGTTTTATGGTCTGGGAATAGAAATTGTATCACAAAGTTGAGATTGTGAATGTTTTCAGTTGTTTCACAGAGTTTGAGGTTCAGTCTGACGTCGAACAGTTACACAGTAGTTCTGAAGTGGAAATCCTAGTCCTGTCCGTGGTTTTGAAAACAGGAAACTGAAGTGTTTCCTGTTTTCACGACCACAAGTCAGACAGGAAAAAAACAGGAAAAAGCAGGAAACACTTCAGTCAATGTTGGGTGTGGTGAAGTATTTTTGTCTTCTGAGAATGACTGTAAAGGATGTACACAATTTCAACAGTTGTAAGATGAGAACCAAACTGAAATAAGAACAATTAACCTTCTGTTATCGTCAGTCCAACCTTTGAAACACCAAGATAAGAAAGAAGTTTGATTGAAATTGAAATTGAATTTCCCTTCTGGGATAAATAAAGTATTAACAAGTTACAAAAGATGAGCAAAACCCTCAAACAGTCACGTACATCTTGGATGAGTTGGAAGATACCAGTTTTTATTGACAGTTATTAAACATGTAATAAAGACTAAAGATCTCTGTCCAAGCCTCCACTCCAGCAGTGCTCCTTCTTAAATGTAACCTTTTATCTTATAGTTAGTGACTGTACAGTTACACTGTTACACTGGATTAACTCAACACATCCAGAACTACTATTCATTTTCTTCTCGGTGTTGGGACTAACATCTACTGATTCTGTGAGCTGACGGCCCAAACACTTGATCAGGTACATCAATAGTCTATAAGCTGCTGTCAACTGACGTCAGATCTTTCTGACTTTTGCAGTTTTCATACAAGACAGACAGTAAAAAGATCAGCATGCTTTACCAAACCCTGTAGCTGCATCTGCATCTAATGCTTCACAGCAGCTTCCATGACATGCTGTTAAACTCAGTTTAACATTTTAAGTTTTTCATTAAGACAGCTACACATGAATGAAACCAAATGTAAACATTATTTTCGCAGCAGAGACAAACAAAAGCACGTCAGTGGAAGCACTGTGCAAACAGCACAGTTCCATCAGTACTGTCACTGGAGCCGGTTCTGTTTAGTCCGTTCACTGCAACGATCTGTTGTTGTAATCGTGTAGTTGTTTACTTGACTACGAACATCATTCATCTTCACTGTCTTCCTCTGTGCTACAGTTCAGTCTTTGCTCAGTGTCTTTGGCACCGAGAGGTTCAGTCTTTACTTCCTGGTCTCAGCAGGTCTTCTCAGGTAGTCATCATCCATCCATTTTACTCTGTCTATCTGGGTTCTGATGGGTTGGCAGCAGACCAAGCAGGTCATTCCAGAACTGCCTCCACTGAGATCGGGGTCGACCCCGGGATCTCCACCCAGCTGGATGTGACTGGAAAACCTCCAAAGAAAAGCATCCAAGAGGCATCGTAATCAGATACCTGAACCACCTCCACTGGCTCCTTTCGACTTGACTCTGAGCTTCCTCTGGATGTCTCAGCTCCTGAGCTTTAGAGATGTAGCAGCAACTTACCCCAACCAGAGGGACCAGTCCATCGGTATCTGGTACAGAACCATGACCTCAGACTTGGAGGTGCTGACTCTCACTCCAGACTGCCTCAGTGCTCGCTGAAGCTCACAACATGATGAAACCAACNAAGAATAGTTTCCTCCCCTTCCTGTGAATTCACTCACAACATCCTCCTGCATGTATTGACTGACTGAGTCACAGCGTTCATCATCATCATCATTTGTTCACTGACTGATCAGAGTGTTGGACTCCACCAGTGATACTTCTTGTCACTCTGATCCTGTTTGTGAGAATCACTGACAGGATCTTAAGGTGCAGCCAGAGTGAGGAAACTGTCCAGTTTGGAGACCTCAGAGTTGCATCTCTGCTTTTCTGCAGATGATGTAGTTCTGTTGGTTTTATCATGTTGTGAGCTTCAGCAAGCACTGAGGCAGTCTGGAGTGAGAGTCAGCACCTCCAAGTCTGAGGTCATGGTTCTGTACCAGAAACCGATGGATTGGTCCCTCTGGTTGGAGTTAGTTGCTGCCACATCTCTAAAGCTGACCTTAGCTTTAGAGATATGGTGAGGAGCTGGGACATCCAGAGGAAGCTCGGAGTCGAGTCGAAAGGAGCCAGTTGGGGTGGTTGAGGTATCTGATTAAGATGCCTCCTGGATACTTTGGAGGTTTTCCAGTCACATCCAGCTGGGTGGAGACCCCAGGGTAGGCCCCGATCTCAGTGGAGGCAGTTCTGGAATGACCTGCTTGGTCTGCTGCCAACCCATCAGACCCCAGACAGAGTGAAATGGATGGATGATGACTACCTGAGAAGATCTGCTGAGGCCATGACCGAGCAGGAAGTAAAGACTGAACCTCTCTGTGCCAAAGACAGAACATCCTTCCTTTGTATCATTGTCCAAGCATTATTTGGATGGATGCTCTACAACGTGTTCCCTCAACAACAAGGCAAAATGTTCTACCTTTAATATATTGCATTACAGGAACATTATACAACGTTCTGTCATCTTAGGTCATGATGAAGTCTTCAAAATGTTTTCCAAATGTTGCATTGAAGATATCTTTCCTTTGTATCATTATGGAAATGTTATGCTATCGAACATTGTTTATTGTGTTCCTCAACAACATCCCAGAAACATCCTCACAACATTACAGGAAGGATGTTCCATTTTTGTTCATATGTCACATCCCAACTAGGTTCATACAAACATCCTCGGAGGCCTTGATTACATTTGGAAAACTTTTGTTTTTAATAGCCTGAGAACGTTCCTCATTTGTTGCCATGGAACACAATCTATGTTCCTGAAAACATTCTCTAAATGTTGATGATAGAACATTATAATGACTTTATAGAAACAACATTGGAAATGAAAATATTCTTAAAACCCTTTTTGAACATGTGATTCAAATGTTTCCTTTCAACAAAACAAGAAAGAAAAAAGGATCAGAACTATTAACTAATGTTAGCCAATGTTGGGGGAACGTTGCCTGCCAGCTGTAACATTACTAACTGAACTGTACTGTTTGTACAGTGTTTACACTGACATGTGTCTATTTGTCTCTACCATGAAAGTAATGTTTTGGTTTGGTTTCATTTGCTAGCATCCATCTCAATGAAATATCTAAAAGGCAAAACTGAGTTTAACAACATTTAATGGAAAGTTGTTTGGGAATATTTGATGTAGATGCAACTACAAGTTGCGCCAGACTAAGAAGGCAGAACCAGTTTACCACACCGAACACTGTCTACTGGTTGCTGTTTTTAAAATCGGTACAGAATTGCTGCTTCACACCTAATGTGTAACAGAAAATGCTTTCACTTCAGCATCAGCCTTCCTGTGTCATCTATAGCACAGTTCTACAAATGGCCCATAAGCAGGTTTACACTAGTCATAGATACAGATTGTGTTTTGTATGTTTTGCAGGTGGATGTTTTGTCCTCGAGGAAGCAGTTCCACATTTAGCAAACCCAAATATAAAGTTAAAGTAGAAGAAATAAAAAAATGAAGTGACAGACATCTGTCATCATTTGGTTGTCGTCACATCATCAAGTCCTCTTCTGGTTTCTGTTGTTGTTCAGCTCTGGTACATATTTTTTCTGCCTGCTTGACTTTAAAGCTGTATTTTCTTAATCAGTTTACAAAAATGCAAAAACAAAAAAACCCCAAAACTTTCTTGTCGGCCTGGATGTGTCTGCACTTGTGTCCTCTCTGTTCTCATCATATGAATTAAGACTCCTTCAAACCATTTACCAACTTTGTCATAAATAAGCTGCACCCCCCCAAAAAAACACAATAAAGACAGATAAGAACCTCTGAAAGTGAACTCATGTTACATCAGCAGCTGCATTGACATTTTAGGGCCCACTGTACACATCCACATATAAATCCAAATGTAAATTCTTGGATAAGTAACCAAACCACATCAGATCCACTCTTTCCTTCAAACTGAACCATCTTCAGTTTGTGTACCAACTAAATGGACCTATGGCAGGTTCTGGAGGTTCTGCTTTACAAATGAGAATATTCGCAACCACATATTTCCAGGCCATAAGACTGCTTAACAATTCCAATCTACTTCCACTGAACCCCTTTTGTCCTCCTCTTAATGCAATGACTTCATGCAATCTTTGCACTACTGTATTTGCACATCTTGACCCTTTGCACCGTAAATATTGCACGTACTTTATATACACTGTTTTTGTTGCATATTCTCATTCGTGCTAACTACAGAAATAGATTTTTTTTTTTTTAGGAAAAAAAGACATGTTGCTTTCTTCGAGCAAAGCTGAACATCATGAAACACTTTGTCCTCAGGTTCAGAAGCAGCCACAGAGAGCAGAGCAGCAGCAGATTCCACATCTGTTCCTGAGGACGTGACACAAAGTGAGCTCCTGAAACGCTGCTAAAAGTTGGAGGAATATTTAGACCAACATGAATCAATCAGCTATGTAAGATTATCTATCAGTAAAACCTGACAGAGCTTTGACATGCAAACTGTCACAGACACTTTAAACCAGTGTTTGTCCATTTGTTGTCCACATTTACTGAAATTATCTGGTAAAACCTCATGAATGATTGTTTCACATGACAACAGAGGCTCAGAAACTGCATGAACTTGTAGACACAGGAAACATTCAAACCACAGTCACAGTCACAGCTACTATTTCTGACGAGCTGAAGTGATGGTCCTGTTTATAGTGATTCCTGACTGCTGTGTGTACAAAGTACTGTTTATATATGATATATGTCATTATTCTCTTCTAGCACAAGACATAAGGATGGTCCTGGTGGGGAAAACTGGAGCTGGGAAAAGCAGCTTGGGCCAAACAATACTTGGAGAGCCTGTGTTTGATACACATCATAGTGCAAACCCTGGAACAAGTAAATGTCAGAAAGCAACCAAACAAGTTGATGGAGAATTAATCACTGTGATTGATACTCCTGGTTTCTTTGATGATCGCAAGTCTGATGATGAGCTGAAGTCTGAGATAATAGATTCTATCATAGAGTGCTCTGATGGGCTTGATGCTTTTCTTATTTTATTTAAAGTTGAGAGATTCACTGAGCAGGAGAATGAGGTTGTTTCCAGGATAACAGAGTGTTTTTCTGAGGAAGCTTTCAAACACGCTGTAGTTCTCTTCACTCACGGTGACCAGCTTCCTGACAACATGAAGATTGAGGAGTTTGTCCGTGGAAATAAGTGTCTGTGTGATCTCTTCAAGAAATGTGGGGAACGCCGCCACGTTGTTGATAGTAAGTACTGGAAGAACAACCAGCAGGATGAATACAGAAACAACAAGGTCCAGGTAGCAAAGCTGCTTGATACAGTAAAACAAATGGTGGAAAGTACAGGGCCCTATACCAATGAGATGCTGCAAGCAGTGAGGAGAGCAATACAACAACAGGTAGTGTGCATTAGAAGCTCATCAAAAGGCATGTCACAGGAAGTTATCAGGCAGCAGGCAAAGAGCAATGTCTCAGATCTTCTCAAGAAGGCAGCTGGCATCACCACAGGAGTGTTGGTGGGAGCTTTACTGGGTGCACCACATATGATTCTAGCAGTTGTCACAGCTCTTCATTCAGTGAAAGCAGGTGGAGGAGCTACAGCATCTGGTGTAGCTGCAGGAGCTGCTGCTGCTGTAGGTGCAGCAGCAGGAGGTTGTGTAGGATATAAAGAAGCTGATAAAGCAGACTCAGTGGGGGAGGCAGTAAAGAACACAGCTAAGGCTATAATGAAGTCAACCAAATAAGTTGTGGAAATGCTAAAAAGACCAAAAGCGAGATGGAAACACTGCTTGAGTCAAAAAAAAAAAAAAAGATAGATTGCAATTTATCAGCATGTCTGTGTTCTACTGGTGACTCTGTTCACCTTGATGATGTTTTTAGGATCCTTTAAGGATTTTGTGGTTTAATCAGATCATGTTGGTATTTTCTATTCTTCTACCTTCCTTGTCTACATGATTGAAGCTTCTTTTTAGTTGTGTTTTTTCTAATTATCCAATCATGAGTATGTGAAGGAGAATTTCACCTCAACACACATTATATATTAACTGTCTCCTCCTGCCAGGTGGAGTTTTATGAGGTGTTGTTGATGATTTGGTCTCCTAGAAGAGGCTGATTGTTCTCTGTGCATCTGTAGGTTTATTGTCAGTCACTGACATAAGCAACAAGGAGGAGGAGATCTTTAACTCCTGTTCTTAGATAGAAAATGACATATAGTGTTGGAACAGACTTTTAAATCTATATAGGGATGTTTGATCATCACTGCATTTTATTAGTATTTTAAAATAATGTTAGGACAGACTTTTGAATTTAAACTTTACACTTTCTGAATGTAAGTTTGAGTTGTTCTTTCCATTTTAACAATGATTCTATAGGGATGTTTGATCATAACTGTATATTATTTGTAGTTTAAAAATGGCACTTAATGATAATAATAATAGAATCCACATTAAAGTGCTTCTTTGTCTGATTAAACTATTTTGTGGATGTAATAAGGTCTTTATAGAACCCTCAGTAAGATGTTTCTTTCAGTATCTTTAGTCAAGGTGTATAATATAGTCATGGTTTGTAAAATGTTTAGCAAAGTAAGGACAAGGTATATGCATGAGTTATGAGAATTAGCTGAGTTTGGATTTTTAAAACCTTAAAAAATGTTATGACTGTGGATGTTGATTTTCTGTGACTTGTAATGACAGGTGATGTTTCTGTTTTTTGTTGCACAAATGCAGATGTACTAATCCAAATGTACAATTTCATCATAAAGAATGTTTGTAATGACAGTTCTTAGGATTAGGGTAAAAGTCAGAGCAAGGTGATGCAAGAATAGTCCTCGAAGAAACCCAGCAGACTTCACAGTCAGCTACACCAACAGCAAAACAGGTGTTCCTATTTTTTATGGCATTTTTTTGTTTTGTTTTTGCATTGTATGGTTGATGCAGAATTAAATACTTTTGTTTGGAAAATTTGGTCAACATATATTCCTGATGGGGCTGCAAGGTGGAGCAGTGGTTAGCACCGTTGCCTCACAGCAAGAAGGTCATCAGTTCGGGTCCCGATGAGGACAGGTCTCCCCGTGCAGCGTGGGTTCTCTCTGGGTTCTCCGGCTTCCTCCCACAAGGTCCAAAAACATGTTGAGGTTAATTGGTGATTCTAAATTGTCCATAGGTGTGAATGTGAGTGTGCTTGGTTGTCNAGCTGTGAAAGTCCAAGCAGCAGCAGTGGGAGAAGAAACACACACAGTCCTGTAGCAGGCAGAGTAAATGGAGGTTGTACAGGATGCCAGCTATTAAAGCAAAAGATTTCACTATGATCATCTTTTAAAATTAGTTTAACTGATTGCTGAACCTGCTTTAGTGTGTCTGCTTTTATCACGCAAGCTTAATGTCCTATTCAGTCAACAATGTAGTGAACTAAACCAAACTGAAAAGTAAAGAATAGTTTCCTCCCCTTCCTGTGAATTCACTCACAACATCCTCCTGCATGTATTGACTGACTGAGTCACAGCGTTCATCATCATCATCATCATTTGTTCACTGACTGATCAGCGTGTTGGATTCCACCAGTGATACTTCTTGTCACTCTGATCCTGTTTGTGAGAATCACTGGCAGCATCTTAAGGTGCAGCCAGAGTGAGGAAGCTGTCCAGTTTGGAGACCTCAGAGTTGCATCTTTTCTTTTCTGCTTTTCTGCAGATGATGTAGTTCTGTTGGTTTCATTATGTTGTGAGCTTCAGCGAGCACTGAGGCAGTCTGGAGTGAGAGTCAGCACCTCCAAGTCTGAGGTCATGGTTCTGTACCAGAAACCGATGGACTGGTCCCTCTGGTTGGAGTTAGTTGCTGCCACATCTCTAAAGCTGACCTCAGCTTTAGAGATGTGGTGAGGAGCTGAGACATCCAGAGGAAGCTCAGAGTCGAGTTGAAAGGAGCCAGTTGAGGTGGTTCAGGTATCTGATTAAGATGCCTCTTGGATGCTTCTCTTTGGAGGTTTTCCAGTCACATCCAACTGGGTGGAGATCCCGGGGTCGACCCCGATCTCAGTGGAGGCAGTTCTGGAATGACTTGCTTGGTCTGCTGCCAACCCATCAGAACCCAGATAGAGTGAAATGGATGGATGATGACTACCTGAGAAGATCTGCTGAGCCCATGACTGAACAGGAAGTAAAGACTGAAGCTCTCTGTGCCACAGACACTGAGCAAAGACTGAACTGTAGCACAGAGGAAGACAGTGAAGATGAATGATGTCAGTAGTCAAGTAAACAACTACATGATTACAACAACGGATCGTTGCAGTGAACGGACGAAACAGAACCGGCTCTAGTCATAGTACTGATGGAACTGTGCTGTTTTTCACAGTACTTCCACTGACGTGCTTTTGTTTGTCTCTGCTGTGAAAATAATGTTTACATTTGGTTTCATTCATGTGTAGCTGTCTTAATGAAAACTTAAAATGTAAAACTGAGTTTAACAGCATGTCATGAAAAGCTGCTGTGAAGCATTAGATGCAGATGCAGCTACAGGGTTTGGTCAAGCATGCTGATGTCTTTACTGTCTGTCTTGTATGAAAAGTGCAAAAGTCAGAAAGATCTGACGTCAGTCAACAGCAGTTTACAGACTATTGGTGGACCTGATCAAGTGATAGGCTCACAGAATCAGTCGATGTTAATTACAACACATTTAATTACATTTTTTATATTGTAATGTTTTATAAATAATCAAAATTCATAAATTGTAGTCTGCTGAGACCAAGAAGAGAATCCATTTATTTTGCTCCAACCACTCTAATGCTGATGCTGTTGCACTGCTGGAAACTCTCTTTGCTGCTTTTTAACATTGGAGATAAATCTTGGGGTCACTGAGGCAGATTCAGAGTCCAAAAGAAAATGAACTGTTCTGGATATGTTGAGTTGATCCAGTGTACTAGTGTAACTGTACAGTGAATCACTAACAATTAAGATAAAAGGTTGAGTTTTAGAAGGAGTACTACTGGAGTGGAGGCTTGGACAGAGATCTTTAATCTTTATTACATGTTAAATAGTTGCCAATAAAACTGGTTTCTTCCAACTCAGCCACGATGTGCGTGACAGACACCTGCTATCTCGCCTTTTATCTTGATCACATCTTCATGTCTCCTTTCGGTTTTCATTTCTTATATCTGATACATATTTGTCTGCATAACAACCTTTTTAAAAACAATGAACCGTTCCTGTCTGCCTGGTTGTGTGTGCGCTTCGTTCTCACTGTATCTATTAAGACACTTTCAAACTTTCGTGAGAAATAAGCTGCACCCAAAAACAAGACCGTCATGATAAGAAGCCTTGAAAGTGAACTAATGTTACATCAGCACCTACTTAAAATGGTGAAACACTCTGTTCACATTCATATATAAATCTTAATCAAAAGCCTTCGCTAAATAACCAGATACGACACATGCTGCACCAAACTCCACCACTTTTAAACCAAGCAATGAAGAGGGCTGCAGGATCCCAAAATGTAACCTCAGAAAAAGCATCAAACCAAACCACACTAGATCCACAGTCTCCTTCACTGAACCACCTTCACTTTGTGTACTGACCAAACTGATCTACCTCGACGCTGTCTGTTCTGCTCACTGCAGAGTCTCCTCTGTGGAAAATATGAAAACCTAAATCAGAATGCTGTTCATGGACATCAGTTCAGCATTAAACAGATCCATCACCACAATATCAACAGAAAAACTTTTCAACCTCAAACTCCAAGAACTGATGACAGACTGTTTCCTCTGCAGACTACAGTCCATCAGGAATGAGTTCCAGGACATTTGTAATGAACACTGACTCCCCGCAAGGTTGTGAACTTAGTTTCATACTGTTCACACTCTGCATCCATGACTTTGCTGCCACAAATGAGAATATTTACAATCTCAAATCTGTGGTTCAGTTTCTATTCCCAGCCCATAAGACTGATGAGCACTTCCAGTCCACCTCCACCAAACCCCCTTTGTCCTCCTCTTAATGCAAGACTTCATCCAATCTTTGCACTACTTTATGCACATCTTGATCTTTTGCACCATGAATATACTTTTTTTTTTTTTTTTTACATTGCTTTTATCATACACACTCATTTCTATCAACTACAGAAATGGAAAAACGTGGTAATGGGCTGAAACTTGCACAGAATCTTTTTTTGTTTTGTTTTTGTACCACCACAGTACCGCAGTTTGAAACCACAGGTTTAAACAAATATCAGCAGCTGTTTAGACAGAATCTGGAGCATATTTGTGTCATATAACAAATGACCCAGAATCATAAATTTGTAAACGTAAATAGACAGTCATGTGACATTGCAGCTTTGCTATTACCATCAAAGCTGAACATCATGAATCACTTCGTCCTCAGGTTCAGAAAAAGCCACAGAGAGCAGAGCAGCAGCTGATTCCACATCTGTTCCCAAGGACGTGACACAAGGTGAGCTCCTGAAACGCTGCTAAAAGTTGAAGGAATATTTAGACCAACATGAATGAATCAGCCATGTAAGATTATCTATCAATAAAACCTGACAGAGCTTTGACTACAGATTCACATGTATGTAAGTTGTTACTTGCTTATTTACAGGCCCCATAACTTCTTGATACACTCCTGTCAGTCTCAGATGTAAAGACTAAAAAGCAGAAGACTAACTTCAGTCTTTTCCTGATGTTGTACTGTTCCGTCATTGGATCCCAGGAGGATTGTGAATGTTTGGCCTCTAAATAATACTGTCACAGACACTTTAAACCAGTGTTTGTCCATTTGCTGTCTATATTTACTGAAATTCTCTGGTAAAACCTCATGAATGATTGTTTCACCAGACAACAGAGGCTCAGAAACTGCATGAACTTGTAGACACAGGAAACATTCAAACCACAGTCACAGTCACAGCTACTATTTCTGACAAGCTGAAGTGATGTTCCTGTTTATAGTGATTCCTGACTGCTGTGTTTACAAAGTACTGTTGATATATGATATATGTCATTATTCTCTTCTAGCACAAGACATAAGGATTTCCCTGCTGGGGAAAACTGGAGCTGGGAAAAGCAGCTTGGGCCAAACAATACTTGGAGAGGCTGTGTTTAATATACATCATACTGCAAACTCTGGAACAAGTACATGTCAGAAAGAAACCAGACAAGTTGATGGAGAATTAATCACTGTGATTGATAATCCTGGTTTCTTTGACAATCGCACGTCTGATGGTGAGCTCAAGTCTGAGATAATAAAATGTATCACAGAGAGCTGTGATGGGCTTGATGCTTTTCTTATTTCATTTAAAGTTGAGAGATTCACAAAGCAGGAGAACAACGTTGTTTCCAAGATAACAGAGTATTTTTCTGAGGAAGCTTTCAAACACGCTGTAGTTGTCTTCACTTACGGTGACCAGCTTCCTGACAACATGATGATTGAGGAGTTTGCCAGTGGAAATAAGTATCTGTGTGATCTCTTGGAGAAATGTGGGAACCGCTGCCACGTTGTTGATAATAAGTACTGGAATAACAACCAGCAGGATGAATACAGAAACAACAAGGTCCAGGTGACAAATCTGATCGATACAGTAAAACAAATGGCAATGACAACAGGGCGTTACACCAATGAAATGCTGCAATCAGTGTGGAGAAAAATACTACAACTGGTAGACAGCATTAGGTCATCAGTAGTCATGTCACAAGAAGATATGTGGCAGCAGGCAAAGCGTATTGTCTCAGATTTTCTCAAGAAGGCAGCTGGCATCACCACAGGAGTATTGTTGGGAGCTTTACTGGGTGTACCATGTGCGATTGCAGCAGTTGTCGCATGTCTTAAGACAATGCCAGAAAGTGTTGGATTAGCTGTAGTTGCAGGAGTTGGTGCTGCTGCAGGCGCAGTAGTGGGAGGTTATGTAGGGTATAAAGAAGCTGATGAAGCAGATTCAGCAGGGGAGGCAGCAAAGAACACAGCTAAGGCTATCATCAAGCCAGTCAGTGAAGTTGTGGAAAAGCTATGGCAATGCCAAACGCAACTGCAAAGTGAGATGGAAGCGTTGCTTGATTAAAAAAAAAAAAAAAAAAATAGATTGCAATTGAGCTTTGCATCACTCTGATCAAAATCCACATCCACAGGATTGTTGGGCTCTGCTGCCATGACGACACATAAGTATCAAGATCAAGATCCAGAATTGTTTGTGAGGCTTTAAACTGACGGCCTTTGTCCATTTATCAGCATGTCTGTGTTCTACTGGTGACTCTGTTCACCTTGATGATGTTTTTAGGATCCTTTAAGGATTTTGTGGTTTAATCAGATCATGTTGGCATTTTCTATTTTTCTACCTTCCTTGTCTACATGATTGAAGCTTCTTTCTAGTCGTGTTTTTTCTTATTATCCAACATGAGTACATGAAGGAGAATTTCACCTCAACACACATTATATATTAACTGTCTCCTCCTGCCAGGTGGAGTTTTATGAGGTGTTGTTGATGATTTGGTCTCCTAGAAGAGGCTGATTGTTCTCTGTGCATCTGTAGGTTTATTGCCAGTTACTGACATGAGCAACAAGGAGGAGGAGATCTTTAACTCCTGTTCTTAGATAGAAAATGACATATAGTGTTGGAACAGACTTTTAAACCTATATAGGGATGTTTGATCATCACTGCATTTTATTAGTAGTTTAAAAATGGTCTTTAATGACATTAATAATAGAATCCACATTAAAGCAATTCTTTGTCTGATTAAACTGTTGTGTGGATGTAATAAGGTCTTTATAGAACCCTCAGTAGGATGTTTCTTAGGACAAAGTAGATGCATGAGTTATGGGAAGTAACTGAGTTTGGATTATTAAAACCTTAAAAAAAATGTTATTACTGTGGATGTTGATTTTCTGTGACTTGTAATGAAAGATGATGTTTTCTTTCCTCTTTTAAAACTTAATTTAACACTTGTGATGTTTTTGTTCCACAAATGCAGATTTACTAATCCAAATGTACAATTTCCCCATAAAGAATGTTTGTAATGACAGTTCTTTGCTTTAGTTTGCTTTTATGAAATATATTCTGATTTCACAATCACCACCAGTGTTTTGACTGATTCTCTGTAAGTTTTGCTGTCACTCTGACATACTGTCTTCTAACATGTACCAATCTCTTCCAACACAAAGGAAGTGACAACACCCACACAGTGAAGCAGTTTGTGGTAAACTATGTCTGTGCCATGTCTGTGTTCTGAGTCAGAAAACCGTTGACGTGCACAGTTTCAAAAGCTGAAAGATGAGAACGAAACGTAAACGAGTGACAATAGTTCCTCTTGTTGTGAAGTCTTGGCTTTAACCCTTTAAAAAGTCTAACATGTCCGTTTGCCTGTTTCTCCAAACTAAAGACTTGCTGGTGGTCATCTCCTCTGTTTTAAGTTTAAATCCAGCCATTGTCTTTACATTAACCCTAGATGATAACTGTTGACACAATTATCATACAGAAAATAGTCAACCCCCCTTGGAAATATTCTCTTTTTATTGATTGTCAACACTGGACCTTGGTCAATGCAAGTTTTTATTTTTCTTTTGTTGATGAGAATTTACAAAAAAAAACAAAAACAAAAACATAAAAACTCTTTCACGTCAAAGTGAAAACAGAGTTCTACCAAGGGATATCAGCTGATTCCAAATTGAAATCTGCTTGATGTTGTCTTTGACATCTCATCTCATTTCATTTCATGGGGATCGCAAGACTCAAGGGAGCAACAAAGGCTGTTGCAGATTCCACCACATGTGCTTTGAAATAAAACCTTTATTGGTTCAGCTAAACACTCCGTTTCACATTTGTGGTTTAATACTGTACTGTTGCCGCCTACAAACACACACACTGTCATGGAGCTTTGGGTTTTTGGTTCTACTGTGGATCTAATTTCAGCATTTTACAAACATGAAACGAAAAGGACAAAAGGGTCTTTTCTTCATCAGAAATTCCACATCAGCTACACTACTCTGCAAAGCCACTCAAGCTCACTCAAGTTTGTCATCAATGAAGGGTTAGGAGGAGTCTAATACTGAATGTGAGATCCTGTGTCGGCTGCTTGTTACACACTCTGGAGACATTCGTCACATATTCTGCAGAAAGACAATAAATGTAATCAGAATATACGTAAGATACAAGAAATAAATGAATTATGTAGATGCAAAATGCAATCAAGGCATCACTCTGCAGTGTACATGTGAAATATGAACAACTTCTGCTGCCTGAGCTACAGCACTTCAACTTACTGCTTGAAATTCATGCAGCTCTGCATTCTTTAGCTCTGTATATATTCCATCATAAAGAACTCTTCTCAACTGTCTTATTTATGATCAAAAACATGCAATATTAGCATCAGAACTTTTCCATCTATAGGCAAATGGAGGCCCAGTGTTTTGAATAAAATGTCTGAATTTCATCAGTGACTGACATGTCCGGGCTTAAATTTAAGATGCGTAAAAACAAAGGAATGTATGAGGTTGGTGTTCGAGCTGTGAACTACGTACGGAAGAAGCTTCAGCTTAAAGGAGTTGGAAAGTCCCTCATCTAAAATAGAAGTCCTACATTTATGACTCCATCCAGTTTGATGCTGGTGCCCTCAAGTGTCCAAAGTGGGACAGGTTTTAGTGGAAGTCAAGTTTTAAATCATCTGTAAGTTTCCATCTAAGCAGTGGAAGTTTTCAGTGTTTACCAGAGAAGTAAACAGACCTGAGATCTGGTTTGGAGAGCAGTGACTTCAAATTTGACGAACTCTAGAATGAGGCAGCTTTTGCAGGAGACCTACATAAATAAGGATAATAAAATCTAGTTCTGTCCTTGAACTAGTCATGACTAGCCTGTATTTTCTATATAGGCAGAGATGTGCACCGTAGTTTGCAGTGAAAGTACAATGACAAACTGTTGTTCTTTTTTTCAATAAACTGACTATTGATTGGAGGAGCAGCTTGAGAATAAAAGATGTCTCCCAATTATGAGTGACTGTACAATCACTCCAATCCAGTGAGGAAGGGAAAAAGGTGGCCAAATTCCCTCCTTTAACATTTGCCTGTGCTTCCACCTAGTGGTTGTTGAAATGTGTTGCAACGCCACATCCCAGACTGGTGCTTGTTTTTCTGCTTCAGGTTTCACTTTCTGTTTCATCACTCCACCTCGCCTTCTCGCTCCATATTTCTCTGCTGTTTATTTACAGATTAAGCTTTTACCAGTAGCGTCCTGTTAATGCACTGGGTGAGCTGAGGTCTGTCTGAACAGGAAATACTGAGTCCAAATGTGCCAGGAATTCTGTTCAGTAGAACGCCTCTGCCCTCAAAGAAGAACAATGAGTTTCCCTTGTTATCTGAAGAACCTTTCAACAATGACAAATTCACTTATCCACATCTACATGGTGCGCAAACAAAACTGAGAGAGAACATAAATAAAACCTATTACTTCTCATATTGATAAACTGTCCACAATCTTTCTAAGGATATTTCCCCAAAATCTGACGTGTCAGCTCAATACACTGTAAGCAGAGTGGACAGTTAAATAGAAGCAGAAAAGAATCTTAACTCACCAGTGATATGGAGTCAAATAAGAAATGTGTGGAGAGGAGGAATGGATGACTGTCCTGCATGTGTTCTTCTCTCTGCTGGAATGAGGCTGCAGTTTCAGTTGAATTTCACTTTGCTATTTGAAGTGTGTGTGCTGTAGTCAAAGTACAAATCATACAACTGCCAAGAGTTTTTCAGCATGTAGTCACAATTTGTTCATGTTTGAGGGTGTGTTTAGTTAGAATTTAAGAAACTGCAGTGTAGCTGGTTGATAAATCGAACATCATCGGCCAGAGAGTAAAGTATCAATAAAGATGGAGATGGAGGGTGAAGGCTTCACCCTTTCTGACCTCTTCTGTATGTAAAGGAGTTAATAATGTTGAGTATTTAGACTGTAAAATGACACTGTTTTACTTCATTTAAATATGCTGAAAAGACAATTATTTACTGCGACATACATTCACAAGTTCTAGATACTTTCAGTTGTGATTAAAAACTGTCACCTGCTGCTACGGATTCTTTGCCTCCTCTAACAAACCTTATTACATCCACAAGATACTTTAATCAGACAAAGAGGCGCTTTAATGTGGATTGTATTACTAATATTTTTAATTACCAATTTTTAAACTACAAATTAAAGTCAGTGATGACCAAACACCTCCATAGAATCTCTTTAAAAGAATAGTAATAGCTGTTAAAATATGAAGAACCACCCAAAGGCGAGTTTCAGAAGCCTGCTCTAACACTACATGTCATTTTGTATGTGACAATAGGTGTTAAGAAGTCTGACAATAGGCCTACAGATGGACAGAACAATAAACGAGTTCTCAGAGACCAAATCATTAACAAAACCTCAGAAAACTCCACCTGAAATCTAAAAACACGATTGGATAATGAGAAAAATATGAC